AGGTAAGACAGGGAAACACCTTCTGCACTTTTTCACCGTCAGTATTTTTTTCCGATACGCACCTCTAAGTATCAGCTGTAACAGTGGTCTTGCCCATATGAATTTAACCAAGGGTTTTCTGGAAATTTAGCTGGTGTATGATTGGGCATGAGAAGAGCTTATTTCAGGATACCAGAATTAGGGGATCAAAACAGTCTACTCTTTCCAGTACATTTTCCATCCAAATGACTCCTTGACTTGAATGACAGTATTGGAACTTGCTGAGAATTACAAAATATCATTCTTGTTTGATGGATGGGATTAGAGCAGATAGAACAAAAAGGCATTAAATTTCCTCCTAAGGGTTCCTTTTGTGGGTATCAGTTTGTTTGGCTGGTTTCTTTATGTTTTTGCTCTGTGTTTTCCCCATAGACTTTCCTGTACACGCTGCCTGTCAATCCCATTTTTATTGTTTTCATTTTTAATACTCCAATTGGTACATCTTACAGAATAGACAAGCCATGCTAAAATATAATGTATGGTTTTCTCTGTCGGTATAAGAGACAGAACTGGGTTTAGACCAGAAGTTGAACCACTGCATGGCCTATCAAGACTGTCTGTCGAGTGGTCCTGGCTGCCTGTCATGTCATCGTGTGCCCTGGACAAGTCTTTCTGTTCACTGGCTCATAAATAGGAACTGTCAAAGATAAGACCTAAAGGGGATTATTAAATGCAAACAGTGTTTTTCACAGAAAAGAACTATTTTGGCAAGTTATAAATGCCCTCCCTATAACAGAGCAGACAGTAGTTAAGCTTCCACTGAATATTTGCCATGATGTAATGCTAAACTTTTTTCTAGATTCTCTCACCTCTCAACTTCCTGCCTACTTCAGAGACTTATCCTCTACACTCCCCATTAGGCACTGGCCATCCTGTTTTATAATCACTATTCAATCCCCAGGCTTCTTTGCGTTGACTCATTCATTCATTTATTCGTTCATCAACACATAATTTAAGTATCTCCTGTATTCTGGACTATATCCTAGGCAACAAGGTCACCATGGCCTGAACTCAGTTGAGCTGACATTCTAAAGGGAGAAATGCATAATAAAAACATTAATTTCTCAACTTTGGCTGCCATTTAAAAAGAAATGCATTGGCTGAGCTGGGCATCTATGGATCACACCTATAATCCTAGCTATTCAGGTGGCTGAGATCTGAAGATTGTGGTTCCAAGCCAGCCTGAGCAGGAAAGACTGAAACTCTCATCTCCAATTAGTTTCACAGAAGTGAAACTATGGCTTAAGTGGTAGAGTTTCAACCTTGAGCAATAAAAAGCTAAGGGAAAGCATCCAGGCTTTCATTTTAAGCCCCATTACTGGTACAAAAACAGACAAGCAAAAAATACACTGAGTGGCCTAAACAGCAAAAAGTGATCTCCTCACAAATTATTAAGGCCACAAGTTCAAGATCACAGATGTAATTTAGAAATCAGGGCCCACTCCTACTGATCAGGTTTTGATAGGAGCTCTCTTCCTGACTTATGAACAGCTACCAACTTGGAGCTTCAAATCGCCCATTTTTTCACGTGGGTATGTGGGTGACAGTGTGAGCGTTTGGTCTTTAGGATCTATGTTATATTAAAACACTAGTTCTACGCACTCAAGGCCCATCCTATGACCTCATTTAACTAATTGCTTCCATTGAGGCCCATCTCTAAGTTCAGCCACACAAGCAATTAAGGTTCTAACATATGAATGGGGGCACACAAACATTTAACCCATTTAAAATATTAAAATACATTTTTAAAAATTGCTACTTCACATAAGGACACAGGAAAAAAATCAGTAAAAAATAAAAGGAGCCAGGTAGCAGTGGTTTATGATTGTAATCCTCACCATTCAGCCAGTGAGATATGAGGACCACAGGCTGAAGTGTGCCTAGCCAGGAAAGTTTGTGAGAATCTTATCTCCAATTAACCAGCCAAAGGATGAAAATGGAGCTATGGCTGAGTGAAAATGAGAACATGAGTTCAAGCCCCATTACAGTCTTACCAATTCTCTCTCTCTCTCTCTCTCTCTCTCTCTCTCTCTCACACACACACACACACACACACACACACACAGAATACTAAATCCACAGCAATCATGATATTGACTAACCATACCCTTTCCTAATTACCCCATGGACCTTTGGAATTGACCCTTTTTCCCACCCTCAGACTTTGTTTTCCACTAATCTATTTCCTGTCTCTATAGGTTTGCCTTTTCCACATAAGTGTTCTAAGTGGGCAGTCTAGTAGTCTTTTTTCACTTCATATTACATGAGATTTCACGGTGTGCAAAGTACTAATGTGGTTTCCATAGTCACTGATTCATCCAGCTGTGAGGGGAATATTGAGAAAAATATATCTGTATTGAAAATGTGTAGACTTTCTTCTTGCCACTATTCCTTGAACAAATATAGTAATATAGTAATATTATATAGTAATGCTACATTTATGTAGCATTTGCTTTGTATTAGGTATTATAATTCAGGTAGAGAAGATGCAAAGCATGCAAAATTTGTGTTATATGAATATACACACTATGTTGCATAAAGAAATAGAGCACACTTGGAACCAATCCTTCATGGAAAGCAAAAGATGATTATATTTCCTTTCTTTTGCCTAGTGGTATTCCATGCTTGAAATGTGCCATAGTTTATTAACTCAGTTTAATGAAATTTGGGTTACATCCAGTTTCAGGCAAGTAAAAATAAAGCTTCTATTCATGTTTACATTAAAGCTTTTGGGTAAACAAAAATTTCCATTTATGGAGTCTTTAATTCCGATTTCCTGAATGGGGAACAGAAAAAATTTCTCTCTCTTCTTCCTTTATCCTTGCTTTAACTCTTTTGTACCAAAATAAATCTTTGCTAAAACTTCAAAAAATGCCATTTATTTTTGGCTCTGGAGTGGAATTCATGAGTCACATAGTATGTTTATGTTTAACTTTATAAGAAATCATCAAGTTGTTTTCTAGTATGGATCCACTGTTTTGTATTCCCAATAACAATACTCAATGAGAGTGACCCTTGACCCTTTCTTTCTATTGTTTCAGCACATAAGATTTTTCTCTTTATCTTTCCCTTTCTCTTCCCATTCTCTCTCTCTTCCCCCTCTCCATGGTCCCTCTCTTTCCTTTCCACCTTTTTCCCTCACCCCTCTTACTTCTCTGTCCCATTCTAGTATATGCACAGCAATGTGTTCTTTTTATTTTATTGTAAAGGTGATGATGTGCAGAGGGCTTATAGTTACATGAGCAAGATAATGAGTACATTTCTTTTTTAACAGTGTTACCACACTCCTCCTCCAGCAATATATTCTTTAATCTTCACAAATATGAATTTAAAAGCCCAGTGGACTTAGATAGTAAGGATATGATGTTAATGAACTGATTTTCCCATCTCATCTTCTTTATAAACCAAAAGTGTGTTGTCTTATAAAATCCTTATCAAGAGCTACATGAAGTATACTTAGAAGTCCACAGTTCTTCTCTGAATCCTGACAACATTAAATTTTAGTTCTCTTATACTCAATAGAAGTCTCATGAAATACTTCATTTTAAAGTAACTTATGAAATTCTCCATTGAAAATATCAGTGACTCCTCAGGCTTAGGATTTTATCTTTTTAAGTTAAAACGGTGAACATTTGACTTCTGCAAATGATTCCTTTACCTAACACGCATTTTTTTCCCATCTGTTTTAAATCCATCACAAGATTTGTACTGGTTTTTTATTCTGTGGCTGGCCATTCTAAGCCTTCACTCGTGATGAGATAAGAAAGAAGAAATATGGTTTAAAAACTCTTTATCAATATCATTATTATTTTAAAGTAACTGAACAAAGGAGTTTCAATTCAACATGCCTGTTTGAGTCCAATGCCTTTTGATCCATGTTACCCATTCATCATTCTCCCCCATCTGTACCAGCTCCATTCATCCCCCCAAATCCCCCAATTCCATCTGCACTTATGAATATTGAGTACTATGACTGTATTCACCCAACCTTCTCTCCATTTATCTACCCATCCCAAGGCCTGAGAACTAAAATGACTTAAAATTATGCTGAAAATTTTAATGTTAGAGAATTTGTACACTCTAATATATATCCAGAACAGAGACAGGAATATCATTGGCCTTGGTAGCTGAGAGTGACTCTTTACCAGATCTCCAGAAAGTACATCATTTTCAGATTAAAGAACTCTTTGTCTTGTCCACTATCATCTCATAATTACTCAAGTGTGTAACATATAGGTCTATTGTCTCTATCAATTTCTTAATTGAATCCAGACACCTAGTCACAAATTTTCCTCTTCTCCCTTTATGGAGAAAATATCCTCTGTAGGCAGTAATGGACTCTAGCAGAAAATATCTAGAACCTCCTAGAAACTGATCCTTATTTTGTGAACAGAGGATCCTGTCTGTGTCCCATGAGATATCTTCACAAAGCTCAGCTCTTTCATTCATTTGCTGCTCTTTCAAAGAGCATTGGAAAGGCACTGTTGCTTTTTAAAAGATGATGAATTAGATTTGAACTCCTGTTGGTGAAAGACACTGTTTTACCAACGTGCCCTAAAAGAGACTTAGTGCAGCAAACTTTGTTAAATGACTTGAAGTCATCATTTGATTGAGATGACTAATGTCTCTTAGTTGAATCAGATACTGTCAACCTGTATGCTCCAATTAACAGTTGGTGGAAAACATAAGAGTAGAAGTGTGTCTTTTCCAGACAGTTTTTTTTTATGTAAGATTTTGTGAAAATACTGTACAGAGGAGTTACAATCACATGAGCAAGGTAATGAGTTCATTTCTTATCAAGCATTGTTGCCTCCTCCTTAGTTTTCTCCCTACCATCCCTTCCCTCCCATCTCCACAACTACATTCCCCCCACTCCCCAGACTGGTTTGATAGCATTTGGCTAGTGGTTAGGCATGCAGCCGCTTCATGAATCTTCTTTTTTTTTTGTTTTCTGTCTGCAGATTTTATTCTTCACCGTACAGTATTGCAACCAACCGCATGATTCCACAGACATCTATCACGCCATTCATTGCCGCCTCCCCTGTCTCCACATACCAGGTACGTCCGACTCACCTGTACAGGAGAAATCCTTTTTGCCAGTAAGACACTATCAAGAGGCAGAAAAGACACCATAGAATTGAAAAACAAACTGTCCTCATACACTTTAGGTGCATCTTAGTGGAATAATGTTTGTTAGGAACTAGCCCTTGCTTTCCAAAGACTGTTTGCAACAATTCACTGATAATAAAACACAATATGCTTGTTTCCTGCTGAGTTTTTATGATGATGCTACTTTTCAGCCAGTGTTAGTACATATGCCACTGGGAAGTTTGTTGTCTCTTATTTTGGGTTGAGCACATTCCATATCAATTCTTCTCTAAAAGCCAATCTCTAGTAATTCCATGACTGAATCCAGAATATTTCATCATTGTCATCTCATTTTGTCACTATTCTCCTTGTGAAGCTACATATATACATGTAAATCCTTACCTTCACTCAAAGAGGAAGGCTAATAGAGCTATAAAAAGCCATTGCTGCTCCCTGCTCTGATTTCTACCTCAGTCCCAGAGCATTAGAGGAGACCTTAAGGTATCCATATGTTGAAATTCAGGGAAATCTAGGAATCATTGTGTGTCCTAACCCAAGATATTATTGCACAGGTAGATTGGAAAAGTCACATTTCTCCCTCAAAAAGTCTCCATATCTTTTTCCTTTGGAGTTACACAATATGTGATATTACTCATTTCTCTCTACCTAGTATTATACTTCAAATAATTCTTCTGATTTGAATTAGAAAATGCCTATAAATGATATCTAATGTTTTCTAAAAATCTGGAGAGATTGTATGTTTGCGCCTGCATGTGTTTCTATATATTTTGCCAATGGTGAAGGTAGACAATTTTGCAGTGGTAAAATTATTTCATTGCTGACTGCTAGCAATTCAGTGAAGTTTCATGTTATTTAGCCACTACATACTTTATTTCAGGATGACCCATCTGTATGGCATCAAACGTGAGACACCGTGCATTTTTCCTTAAGTACTGCTTCCTCCTGGAGCGGATATTTTCCTTGTTTTTCTGTACTCAGCCTCTTGCAATATGTCCATGGGTGAATTGAATGGAAATTTATTAGAATTGCATTAAAGGGCCCCTAAGATGGTTGATTGATGAATGGATTTTTCTAGGGACCCATGAGTCTACATGCAGGTGCTGCTAAGTTTTTGTTCTTCCTGCAAGCCTGCCTGCTTATATACAATTGTGTGTGTGTGTGTCTCTGTGTGTGTGTGTGTCTCTGTGTATGTGTGTGTGTGTGTGAGTGTGTGTTTTCATTTTTTCCATTCTTGGCCTTTGCTTCAGCCAAGACCACCCATTGAGCTACAGTGTGGAACATTTTTGTGATTTAAATAAAATATCCACAGAAAAGTGATTTTATTTGGGAGGGCTCATAAGTGGAAATTAGCTCTAGATATCTTCTTTCAAACAAGAGATTACAGCATTTTCCCATGGTGTTGATTCTTGTTTTGAACCACTATTTATTTTTTAACCCAAAGTATACTGATAGTTCTGTTGGTATGAGTATACAGAAAAACAAAATCTCCTGGCTTTCCTGTGATGATCAGTTTACAGATGTCAACTTCTTCATTGGGCTCACATGTAATACATTTAAGAAGAGTCAGCTGGCTCTAGTATGCATTTTTATTCATTGAATCAATTGCTATGAGAAGAAAATAAATCTTAGCAGTCAGCTCTTGCTTTCTTCATTACTTGCTGGGGCTTTCCAGGGAAGTTTATCTGCAGATAGTCTCTGAAGGCTATTAAGTCTTTAGTCTTCAACACCAACCTCAAAATATGTTTCCAAAGACAGCCTGGTTCAAATGGACACTGAAGCCAGCCAGTTGGAAGATAGGAAGATGCTTTATTGTTCTTCATGTTTTAGAAACAAAATTAATCAGGGCCAATAAGTCCCTCTTTGTCCTTGGTTTTGAGCACAAATTAGCTGTAGAGTCAGATGGACTCCACTTTCTCATAACCTAGTGTGACTCCACTGAACACAAGAAGCAGGTTCCCTCTGTGATTGCTGTGTGCTAATAAATGCTGTTTGATGCATAGGTCCAGAGTACTTCATGGACGCCTCATCCGTCATACGTTATGCAACCAACAGTAAGTGTTCTCAGTCACCTGAGGCTCAAATGTTTCTATTATCCAAGTGCAAGCGTTTGTAATGTGTAGAAGTTTTGGGGTAAAAGCTTTTGTTATATTCTGTAGCTCTTTCAGGCAGCCAAATTCTCCAGATTAAAAGCTGTTCCTGGAAATCTACAAAAGCATATACAAATAGATAGCTAGACACAGAAACAAGTAGATACAGTGCTAGAGAGAGGGAATAGAGATTTGTTATGGAAGAGGAATTTCTGCTTCATACCAGGAGTCAGAACTCTGGACAATCAAATGCGTTATACAAGTCTTGCTGTTTTCTTTCTCTTTCTGATAGGCTTTGCTTGCTTCAGATCCAGTTTTGAGTATCATGGCCAAGTGAATTCTTGAGGCAAAGTGTATGAAATGTGAAGGTAGTTGTGTACTAACAGATGATGATATAGATCGATAGATCAATATATACATAGATAGATAAGAGAGATGCATAGATGTTTATTTCATTCAAATTCTTTTCTACTTTCCGTTCCCATTTGTACCTTATCATATCAATCTGAAGTGCAAACTACCACATGTTATATTAGAATCTAAAGTGAAGCCTAAGGGTCCCTTTTATCTTGTCTTTCAGAGTTTTTTTAGAAGAAATAATTTCAATAGCAACATATACATAAATGTGTGAGGCAGAGACAAAAGCAGTAGTCTGGAAACTGTGTGCTAGTCTATTGATAGCTCCATCAGTGGCTTTGTTTCCTTTTCTGTCACTATTGTTAGTTGCTTTCTTTCTTTCATTCTTCCTTTTTCTTCCTTCCTTCCTTTTCCCTCTCTCCCTTCTTTTCTTTTCTTTGCCTTTCCATGTTCCCTTTCCCTCCCTTCCCTTCCTTTGTTTTCCCTTCCCTTCCCTTCCCTTGTCTTCCCTTCCCTGTCCTTCCCTTCTTCTTTCTGCCACCTGCAATTGATCTCAGGGCCTCCCATAGGTAATGTCTCTTGTTCTTGAGCCATTTCCCAAGCTATTTTGTTTTAGTATTTTGTTTCTGAGAGCAAATCTGTAAGTTCACTCAGGCTGGCTGCAAATTCCTGGTCCTCCTACCTTTACTGACTGAGTAACCAAGATTCTAAGCATGCATTCTCCCACCATACTTAACAGTGCTTTGTGGCAGAACAAGAGCGTGTGTAAAACAGTATGCATAGCTGGTATATAATATGAAAAACATGACACACTGTACCTAATGCTTACCATGATCCTGATTTTGGAATGTGTTAATTATGCCAAGAACATTATGACATTTTAATCCTTCAGAGACTAAATTTAAATAAAGCAGTATATATTAAAAATAAGGAAATAAATTTGCATGCATCCATTTTCTGGTCTCAGAGAATGAGAAAATGTATTTTACAAACTTGAGTTTTGTCCATTTCACTTTTAAAAAATACCCAACTTTCTACATTGCTCCTAACATTTCAAAGGTTGAGCTTTTATGTAAAGAGTACAACTATGCAGTGTACGTAGCTCAACAAAACTTTGGACCGTATTTTTCAAATCCCCATGTTTACTATTATTTATATACTCTGGGACTTCCTGAGTTCATCTGGTCTATGCACTGTAAATTATAACAATGTGCAGTAAATCCAAGCTATACTCTTCTAAGCCAGGAGGTAAAATTCAACATATTCTGCCAAACCATATGTAGCATAGCACAGACCAAGCCAACACAGGAAGAGTACAGACATTCTGCCAAGGTCTAGAGAAGAGATTATCTAGAATAAACCAATCACTTTCTAAAAAATAATGTGTTCATCGATAGAACAATGGTATTGCCTGAGGCCAAGAAATAGTGGCTTATGCCTGTTCTGAAGGCTGAGATCTGAGACTCATGGTTGGAAACCAGCCTAGGCCAGACAGTATGGAGGACTCTTATTTCTAATTAACCACTAAAAAGCTAGAAATGGAGCAATCTGTCGCTTAAGTGATAGGGTGCTAGCCTTGAGTTAAAAAGCTAAGGGAATGAACCCAGACCCTGAGTTTAAGCCTCCCTTAGTCCTCACAGGAAGGTGAAGCATCCATTGTTGCCAAAAGGAATGCACATTTTGCCAGATGTTGAAATATAAAGTTCTCAGTACTTGAGCTTCAAAGCAAAGGGAAGATAGGTATATAGGTCTTTAAAAGTTGTTATTTCTGTGGCCACTGAGGATATTAGCAAAGGCTTCAAGATACCTTGTCTTCATCCCAACCCAGCTTCAATCTCATGGTTGTATGGATGATTCTATTTCCCTAGCAACAAGTGTGTGTGTGTGTGTGTGTGTGTGTTTATTTGTCTCCTTGGATTTTGTTTTATGCTACATTTGCTAGTGGGTAGCTTCTACTTCTCTTACTTCTCTTGACTAGAGTGTCAATCATGTTTGGGTTTCGGCCACTAAATTTGAATTGCAATGTCTATGTCTGGCACAGATTTCTACATGAAAGAGTGCTGGGCCACCTATCAAATTTCTTAAGCTTGGAACAATGAGCTGGATAGTGTCATAGAAACATAGAATTTACATCACCAGTCTTTGCCCTGGAACAACTTGCTGGTTGTCTGTGTTACAAAAATAACTTCACTCAGCTGGCCTTTATTTCATCATCATTGTAGACTTTAAACTGACCAGTCCATACTACTAAAAGATAAAAATACAGAAGGAATCTAAAGCTACAAAACAAAACAACTTGGATCTGTGAAGAGTGAGCAAAAGTGTTGATGTTAAGAGCCTGTATTCTTGCTTGGCTCATAAAGACTCAGAAAACCATTATAGTTTATTAGTTAATGGACTTCAACTTTCTGAGCTACAATTTTCTCCCTGGTCATATGGACATAATATCTAAATAATTTCAAGTTTTGTTGATTAAAGAAATAAGTAAGATACTAAAGCTCTGGAAGTAGTTTCTGGAAAAATAGGAAAAATTCAATAAGTAATGTAGTTAAATAAATAGACTTCACAGTGTGTTTTAGACTATCCAAATTATAGGATAGAAATCTTAATATAGTAAGGAAAGGGAGAATAAGCAAGAATCGCCAATTTATTTCATTCATAGTGCTTATTTAACAAACTTTGCTGAAGAGTTTAGTTAAGATATATAATAATTTAAATTACTAAAGCTGGATGCCAGAAATTCATGTGTATAACTCTAGCTACTCAGAAGGTTGGGATCAGGAATTGCAGTTCAAAACCAGCCCAGGCAGAAAAAATCTATGAAATTCTAATCTCCAATTAGCCAGCAAAAAAACTGCAGAAGAGACAAAACAAAACAAAAAACAATAGCCAGAAGTAGAAATGTGGCTCGAATGGTAGAATACCAGCCTTGAGCAAAAAAGCTAAAGGACTGTGTTCAGCCCCGTGTAAGCCCCAGTAACCACATACACACACACACACACACACAGAGCTGAATTTGGTTGGTGCTTAATTTATTTACTTACCAACCCCACTCAATACATACATAACACTTGATTCCTTTTGGGTGCTTTCTTCTTTATCAGTAACTGGAAACTGGTTTACAAGTAAATTAAAGTGCTAATTTCTACATTTCAATAGTTACTTATGACTCTTCTCCTGTGTCACCTTTTCTCCCCCTCCTCCAGTTCTTTTTTGTCAGTACTTGGGCTTGCTCAGGTTATGCTAATTCATTTGAATTATCTTATGGTAGAAGAAATGTATACAGGTTAGGTGCATTCTTGCTTCTCTACACATACACATACTGTTAAAAACATGTTGCTCCTGGCCTTCTCCTTTGGCTTTGGGTCACGGCTGTTGCTCTACCTCTTGAGCCACATCTCTACTTCCAGGTTTCTGCTGGTTGGTTGGAGATAAGAGCCTCATGGACTTTTCTGCCCAGCTGATTTCAAATCACTGTCCTCAGATCTCAGCCTCCTGAGTATCTAGGATTTCAGGCCTAAGCCACCAGCGCCCTAGCCACCAGCTCCCTACACTGTTCCCACTTTGACACAGTCCTGACTGAGCTGCCTCCCGCTTTGTGGCGGGACTTATACACTATTGCTTTACTTGTACATTATTGCTTTACAGAATGGCATGTACATTATTACCTCACCAGAAGTGCTCTGGTTCCCTTTCAGGCTTGACATGAAGGTCTTTGATGTCTCATTCAGGATAGTATCAAAGAAAAAAAATGGAGCTTCAGTGACATATAAGTACAGTACAGTGACCTGATTTTTTTTTTTTTTGCTAGATTAGATGAATGGTTGAACTGAAGAGTGGCAGTTTCTAAGACAGAATAGCAGAAAAAGGAAGGGTAGTAACACTAATGTCCTAGGAGAAGAAAACACAGCATATTGTTTGTTAACATTTGTTATTCCATTTAACTTCTTAGGAAAATGCATTTTTAATTAAGTTTTTTATTGTGCAAATACTGTACAGAGGATTTTTTTAAGTAAACTTTGTCAATTGAGAAAAAGATGCTGGGAAGGGAGGCTGAAAGTATCCCTTTATGAGCTACAGCCACTATTCTGGTGTTTGTATAAAAACAAATCATTGTTACAAAACCTTGAAACCTCCACTGATTTCCTGGAACCAAGTTGTAAAACCCCACAGTGGGAAGCAGGCCATTTCTGTTTGTATTTGGTTGTTATCCTGAACAGCATCTAGGGAGAAACTGTCCTACATGTTGTTGTAGGTGAGCGAAATTCTGACTTTGTCGACACAGTTGTTTGTGTCTGCTTCTCAGTGCAGGGCTTAGTACTGCACTCTGCAATCTCACAGTTGCCTTGTCAGAATATGAATGGATCATATCAAATATCTGCTCTACAGTGCAGCATGTCATGCTGGAATACCCCATGAATGCAAAATTGAAATACTCATGTTCCAGTACAGTGGATAATTCTCTAAAACCTGTGCTACTGACAAGAAGAAATGATCGTTCCTAAGAGAAAGCAGAGTTCCATTTTCTTAAATTCCATTCAGAGATACTCAGATCATAAATCTTCTGTTGTTCATATGGTTACCATTATTTCATCTCAAGGAGAAAG